TGGAGATGGGGCCTTGGGAGGTAATTAGGATCAGATGAGGGCTGATGGAACTAGTGTCCTCTTAAGAAGAGACACCAGAGAGCTTGTTCTCTTTCTTTCTGATGGTGAGGACACAGCAGGAAGACAGCCATCTGCAAGCTAGGGAGAGAGTCCTTGCCAGAACCCAGCCATGCTGGCATCCTGATCTCAGATTTCCCAACCTTTAGAACTGTGAGAAAATGCATTTTTTTTTTAAAGTAATCTCTACACCCAGTGTGGGCCTCAAACTCAAACCCTAAGATCAAGAGTTGCATGCTCCACTGACTGAGCCAGCCTGGCACCCTCATTAACTCCATAGTTTTATTCTTTACATTTAGGTCTTTACTTCATCTGGAGTCTATCTTTGTATATGGTGTGAGGTAAGGATCCTTTTTTTTTTTTCTCCACATAGTGAATCAGTTTTCCTAAAGCCTCAGTGAACAATCCATCCTTTCCCACCGAATGGAAGTGCCACCTCTATCATTTTATGTCCCTATACAGGCCTGGGTCTGCCTGTGAGTCTGTTTTGTTCCTTTGGTATATTCATCTGTTCTTGCAACACGCTATTTTTAGAACTATGGCTTTGCAGTTTGTCTTAATATTTGGTAAAGCAAGATCCCCTCCTTTCCTTTTTTATGTTGACTTAGCTATTTGTATACCTTTATTCCTCCATATAAATTTTAGAATTGGTTTATCAAGTACTTCAAAAAAATCTGGAATTTTTATTAAGATTGCTTTAAATTTACTGGCTAATTTCGAGAGCTGACATGTAGATAATATTAAGATACCCTATCCAAGGACATGCATGGTTTCATTTTTTTCAGATTACCTTCTGTATCCTTTATTGACATTTTACTTTTTAGTTTATTTTAATTTTTTAAAAGTAATTTCTATGCCCAATGTGGGGCTTGAATTCACTGAGGTCAAGAGTTGCACGCTCTACCGACTAAGCCAGCCAGGGACCCCTAAAATTATGTTTTAGTTGGTTATTACAGTGTTACTGAGATGATATTGATTTGTGTAGGTTGATCTTATATCAACCATGATAATCTCTTTGCTAAGAGCCCTCCTGCCTCAATTGTGAATACCAGTCATATCATTGATGAAAGCCCGTTTCAAATATTTATCATCCTAATTAGCAAAGCCCTTAGTGTTGATCAGAGATGGATGAGTGCCTTACAGCAGATGCCTCTGGAGCCAACTCTTTTAATTAAAATCCAGCTGACAACCCTCCCGCCTCCGGCATAACTAACCTCTGGGGTGCAGTTTAAAACCAACTCATATAGCCACGAGGGGGCGCTGAGACCTCACTTAGATAGGAGGAGACTTACTGTGGGTGGAGAGAATGTGGACACCAGGGGGCATTGTTTGGGCCAAGCACCTAGTGTGCGCCACACGCTGTTCTGGATGTTAGGGGAGCCATACTCAAGGCAAGCAAGGAGCTAATATGCTGAAAGTCGCGGAGTGTGGACAGACAATAAAATAAACTAACACTATATCAGGGCTGGGGCGCCTGCGCTGCACAGTCGGTTGGGAGTCGGGCTCTTGGTTTTGGCTCAGGTGGTGATCGCGGGGTCTGGGATGAGCCCCCGGTTGGGCTCTGCACTCAGGGCGGAGTCTGCTTAAGATGTTCTCTCTCGGGCGCCTGGGTGGCTCAGTTGGTTAAGTGACTGCCTTCGGCTCAGGTCATGATCCTGGAGTCCCAGGATCGAGTCCCGCATTGGGCTCCCTGCTCAGCAGGGAGCCTGCTTCTCCCTCTGACCCTTCCCCCTCTCATGCTCTCTCTATCTCATTCTCTCTCAAATAAATAAAATCTTTTAAAAAATTTTAAAAAAGATGTTCTCTCTCCCGCACCTGAGTGGTTCAGTGGGTTAAGCGTCTGCCTTCAGCTCAGGGCACCATCCCAGAGTCCTGGGATCAAGCCCCATGTTGGGCTCCCCACTCAGTGGGGAGCCTGCTTCTCCCTCTCCCTCTGCAGCTCCCCCTGCTTGAGCTCTCTCTCTCTCAAATAAATAAAATCTCAAAGAAAAAATCCTAGAACAATACCAAGAAATTGATGTTTTAAAATGATGAATTGGGGCACCTGGGTGGCTCAGTTGTTGAGCGCCTGCCTTCGGCTCAGGTCATGATCCCAGGGTCCTGGGATCGAGCCCCCCATCGGGCTCCCTGCTCCACGGGAAGCCTGCTTCTCCCTCTCCCACTCCCCCTGCTTGTGTTCCCTCTCACTGTGTCTCTCTCTGTCAAATAAATAAATAAAATCTTTTTTTTTTTTTAAAGATTTTATTTATTTATTTGAGACAGACAGAATGAGAGACAGAGAACATGAGAGGGAGGAGGGTCAGAGGGAGAAGCAGACTCCCTGCCGAGCAGGGAGCCCGATGCGGGACTCGATCCCGGGACTCCAGGATCATGACCTGAGCCGAAGGCAGTCGCTTAACCAACTGAGCCACCCAGGCGCCCAAATAAATAAAATCTTAAAAAATAATAAAATAAAATTAAAAATGATGAATTGGAGGAAGGAAGAAGAGGGAACGGAGTGGATGTAGACGAAGGTAAGAGTGAGGGAAAGATGCCTTGTGGCTGCCGAGTGGGAAATAGCACAGACCCTGGGAGGCAGGGAGCCTGGTGACCTTGGGGCAAGTGTGGGGCCACAATGCAAGGGTGGCAGGTCGGGTACACTGTGTCCTTTGGAGCTTTGCCACATCAGAGGGCCTGAAAATCAGTGTTCCCAAGGCACATCTTTGCTGGCCAGAGATGATGGCTGGAGGAGCTAATGGTCTAGCTCCTCCCTAGGATGATAAGGTTGATAACGATGCTTATTACGTGCCTGGCACTAGTCTATGATCTGTACATTTTTCTTAAAATTTTTAAGATTTTATTTATTTATTTGAGACAGAGAGAGCAAGCACGAGCAGGGGGAGGAGCAGAGGGAGAGGGAGAAGCAGGCTCCCCGCTGAGCAGAGAGCCCGATGTGGGGCTTGATCCCAGGACCCCGGGATCATGACCTGAGCCGAAGGCAGATGCTTAACCACTGAGCCACCCAGGTGCCCTTGACCTGTACATTTAAACCTCATGACAACGCCGGGTGGTAGATACTGTTCTAATCCTCTTCATTTCACAGATATGGAAACGGAGGCACAGAAAGGTTAAGGGACTTGTTCAAGATGACACAACTAGGAAGGGAGACAGATGGCATTTGAATCCAGGCAAGAACCCCAGAGTCCGGGCTCTTACCCACTATGGTATGCTGCTTCCCAATGCTTTTGTTGTAGCCTTGTTCTCAGTCAAGTTGTATGGCCCTTTGGATAGGCTAGCTCAGGAGTGTGAGCAATCACTAACACTTTAGTATGAATTAGTTACCGCCCCCCGCGCCCCCCCCCCACCTTCCTGACACTAACGTATAGCAATCACCGCTATGGTTTACAGGAGCACTGTAGTGTAGGAGTTCAGTAGCTGGGCTCTGGAGTCATATGCCTGGGATTGAAGCCCAGTGCCACTTCCCAGGTGTGTGACTTTGGGTAAGTGTTAGCACTAAACTGGGCCTCAGTTTCCTCATTTGTGAAGTCCCCATTTTTCAGATGAGGAAACTGAGCAGCTCAACACACGGCACACCCAGGACTTTAGGACCTGGGTTTTGAGCACATAGTCACCTCCACAGAATGAGGAGCCAAAAACAGGTTCTGTGAGAGGGAAGTCTGAGGTCCCTAGGCCCGAGAGGATGTTCTGGGAGATGCGCCCAGGTGATTGGATGCCGGGAGGGCTCTGTCCATCCTCCACACATTTGTTCTCTGTAGGTCTGGGTGGAGGGAAGGGGACCCTGGAAGCCTGAGGTCTGCATGCGCGGGGACAGCAAAGCCATCTGCAGGGCTGGACAGGCAAGGGGTTTCTGCATTCCTCCTCTCCTTCAGTGGCATCTTCCCTTCCTGCCGGACTGGAGCTCAGACCCCCTGCAATGGGTGCCTGATCCTGGCCGGGCTGCTGGGTGGCACAGGGTAGGGATGGGGGCCAGGGCCCCACGTCAGTCAGTAGAGGGATGATGTGAGGTGTGTTTTGTCCTGGTTGCGGGGGGGGGATGCCCTAGCTCTGCCCCCCCACCCCAATCTCCTGACCATACATAGGCAGGACCGCTGCTACAACTGGACCTGCTGATAAAATACTGAAATCCTGGGGCGCCTGGGTGGCTCAGTCGGTTAAGCGTCTGCCTTCGGCTCAGGTCAGGATCTCAGGGTCTTGGGATCAAGTCCCCCACCCCGACCCCCCTGCATCAGGCTCCCTGCTCAACGGGGAGCCTGCTTCTCCCTCTCCCCCTGCCCGCTGCTCTGTCTACTTGTGCTCTGTCAAGTAAATAAAATCTTTTAAAAATATACTGAAATACTTCCACAGTTTGGGGTAAATAGCTGCCACCCACTTCTGATGCCCTTCAGGCCTCCCTAGCACCCAGCCCAGGGGCCTCCCTGATCCAGCTTTGGGGGATTTGCTGATCCTGATGGGTGGATGGCTCCACCAATATCTGGTATCTTCCCTGCCTTAGCCTCAACGTCAATCCCTCCACTCACAAGGTTCAGACATGGGTACCCATTTCATATAAACTCCTATGCATCCTTCAAAGCCTTGCCTCAATGTCACTTTCTTCAGGAAGCCCTCCTGGTTTGTTCACGATGTGTGGTGGTGATATTGGGCACATTTGGTTTTGCGCATCTCCCGAGGTACAAGGACCACAGGCCACCATTCCCACAGGAGCCCCGAATGACACCCACTGGGGCCCTGCTGGCTTGCACTGGGCCAAGGCTGAGGGGGAAGTGAGGACAAGCTGAGTCCCAGGAGGGGAGGGGGGCAAGGTCAGCAGGGCCTGTTCTCATGCTCTGGCTGAGGAGCGATTCTCCATCTGTCAGGCCAGCTGCGGGTGCCGGGACCTGGGGAGACGCAGCAGAACAGAGGGAGGTGTGTAGGGGGAGCTCGGGGAAATCCACGGTAGTCAGGGAGAGGAAAAACAGGCACACCGTATTGTTACAGAGCCATTACATACAACTTACAAACAAGCCAGGACGGTGTGGAGGGTAGGGGAGAAGGGAGGAGGCACGGAGGCAAGAAGGTCAGGGTGGCGCGGTCCGGGCTGGGTCCTGGAGGGGGCTCAGGCTGCGGTTCCCGGAGGGGCTTGTCGGGTGGAGGCCGGGCTGCTTGTGGAGGCCTCGTAGCTTCCCCAGCAGCTCCTGAACGAAGTCCTGAGGATGGGGCAGGGGTCCTGAGAACATGGGGAGGGGCGGGGCTGCCCCCTGCCCTGCCCAGCCCAGCCCAGCCCCTCTGACCGGGGCCCCTACTGCTCCGCCTCCCCTGCCTCCCCTGCCTCCCCTCCTGGGCAGTGAGAGCACCTGGAGGTAGTTGGGGAGGGGGGTCGAAAGGCAGAGATGGGGAAAGAGAGAGAGGGGGGACAGATAGAGAAAGACAGGGAGAGAGCCAGAGCAAAAGAAACAGAGAGACAGGGAGAGACAGAGCCACAGACAGGGAGGGAGACAGAGACCCAGAAACTGGGATCAGGACAGAGACACAGAGATGCAGAGGGAGAGACAAAAGGACAGAGAAAGAAACGGCCACAGAGAGACATCAAGATATTTCTCAGGCCAAGGGATCACAGGAAGGTCCCCAGGGACAGAGGCCTTAGCTCCAGGGGCAGAGAGACACACAATGACGTTTGTCCCTCAGGCAGCCCAGAGCTGGTTGGAGAAACATATTTTTCCCTTTTAAAGCAGGGAAGGAAGTGGGAGGGGTTGGGCCGCTCGGGGCCTGGAGGGATGGGGGGAGCAGAGGTGGGGAAGGGAATCCCAGGGTGGCAGAAGCAGCTGGAGGGAACCGAGTGGAGGGGTGAGGCTGAGCCCCAGGACTGGCCGCCCAAAGGAGAGGGCAGCAGAGGCACCAGCAGAAGCCGGACACAGATGGGGAGTGTCTCAGTGGGGAGGAGATGACAGGCCCCAGCGGCAGATGGGGAGAGACAAGCGGGGTGAGGAAGACAAAGACACCACTGGAGCCGAGGAAAGGGCTGAGAGACTCAGAGGGCTCTCCAGGGCTCCCTCTGCCGCCCCTGGGCCAGGCAGCGTCTTCCCTCCTCCCCAGGGACCCCCTTCTCCACCAGGATGCAGGGGCCCAGAGCAGGGAGGGAACACTCACCTCTGTGGGGTTCCTGCACGACTTCAGGAGTCCCTAAACCCCCCCGCCCCCCGCAAAAAAAGAAAAGAGTAAATAACCAGCCCCTCAGCCCCTCCAGCCCCTTCTCTTTCCCAACAAAGCCCCAAGGCAACAAGACAAAAGGAAGTCAGGCTCCAGGGTCGACTTCCCATCTGGTCGCCAGGGAAGAACATGGCCTGAGGGTCTTATAGAGCAACTCTGCACCAGGATTAGCTCTAAGTCCAGAGAGGGCTGGAAGGTCACACAGCGTTTCCTAACAGCAAGGACACCGGCCTGCCTGGCTTTCACTCCCAGCTCTGTTCCTTCTGAGCTGTGACCCGGGGCGAGTGATTAAATCATTTTCCTCTTCTGGAAGATGGAAACCATACACCCTTCACAGGATTTGTGAGGATTAAATGCGTTAAGTGGAAAGTAACTGAAACGGTGCCCAGCACATAGTAAGTGCTCAGTAAACATGTGGACTATTGTTGTGATTTTCAGGAAGGTGCAAGGTGGGGGAAGGCAGCTCTCCCTTTCACCTACCTGGATTTTCCGGCTTCTGTCCTCTTCGCTCTCTAATTCCAACAATTCATCAATGTTGACCTCCTCAGGCATGTCTGCCTCCTAAGGCAGGAGGGAGGGGTGGTCAGGGTCGCATGCCCGTCCCTCCCTCGCCTTTGTCCAGGCCTCTGGAGAAGCCCCACCGGCCCCAGGGCCCAGCTGGCGGGTTCTGGAGCAACAATGTGGCAGTCAGGGACAGCACCGCCAAGGCGGGACATCTGGGTGTTGGGGGGAGGGGGGACAGATGGGTTGACAGAGGCCCAGGGCCCTGTACCAGCTCAGATTCCAGGCAGCCCCAGAGCCCCGAGAGCCCTGGGGCTGGCACAGGTCTCTCTCCTCGGCCCCAGTTCCCAAGAGGGGAACAGGCCTGGTCGAGTATTGGAATGTCAGATTCTGTGATTCAGGAGAGGGGCTGCCTCTGCCCTTTCAAGGAAAAGTCTAAGCACTAGGTGTGGAGGAGGGGTGCAGGCCGGCCAGAGCCGGCTGGGGGGGGGGCCCTTGCCTAAGAGGACCGGAAGGGAGGGTAGGGCTCAGGCCAGCCCCCAGGGCCAAGAGTGCAGACCGGGCAGACCAGAGAGATGACCACCAACGGCCCCCAGAGTGGGTGGGTGGGATGAGACACGGAGCCCAACTCTGAGCGGCCCAGAGGGGGATTCCTCAGATAGCCTGTTGGGGCAAAAAGCCAAACGCAGGCTGGCTCACTAGCCCTGTGGGAGACAGAATCCAGCTGTCAAAGCATGAGATCCCTGAGGCTACAGATTTTTTTCCTCCCCCACCCAAAGCCCTTCTGACTTCACTGTGGGCCTCAGGGCTGGGTGGTCCCGGGTTTGTGTGCGGAGAAGGGGGGTGAGCAAAGGCCTGGATAGTCTGTAAGTGGGTCACACCCCTGTGCGAAGCTCTGCGTGTGAGCCAGAGGCCAAGGCCAAGGGGCCAGGGCCAAGGCCAGGGCCCGCTTGAGAGTGCAGAGGTATGGGGTGTCATGGGCATGGACTTCACGGGGGCGGGGGGTGGCTACGGTCCGATGACTGTGAGACATGTGGCCCTGGTTTAGCTGCGTTTGTCCACCATCGGAGGATGACTTTAGAGGATGCCACCTACCGATGGCCGCTGGGCTACTCTGTCTACCTATAGGAGACTCCCTGTGTGCCTGACAACGGTGGGACCTTGTGTTGCCGTGAGGGGCCATGCCTTGTGTCACCTTCGAGCTGTGCATGCTGTCTGTCCGCCGACACAACCACCACGTCCCTGGGATTGTGTTTCGTGTGTGGTGCAGTGTGACTTCAAGCGGAGACTAAAGCGGAAGGTGTGAAATGTGTGTCCGTAGCCTGTGCGTCCCATTGGAGGCTGTGGCTCCCGCCCCCCGTGTACCTACAGCGCGCGGTTTTCTGTCTGCGTGCAGCTGTACTTTCTGCCGTTTTCCGTCTGTGAGCGGCTGTAGCGCCTGTCACTGTGTTTGCATGTGGTTCTTGGCTTTTGCTTTTAGGAGGCAACGGATGGCTGTTACTCGAAACATTCCGGGCCCCAGGGGAGGGGTAGCTCGAGCGCTGTGCGCACTGCTCCTTCGCGGGTCTCTGAGCGGCTGTAACTGGAGTCCTTTTGTGTGGGTGTAGCTGTGCGGGGTGTCTGCGTTCGGCTGTGGCCTGTGCTATTGTGTCTGTGGGTGCTGATCTGTAGGGGACCACAGCCTGTGTTCCTGAGAGTCTGTCAGGGGCGCTAACTTGTCGCTGTGCGCGTCTGTGAATGCTGTTGCTTTCTTTGCTGGGCGTCTCTGGGTCTCCGTATCTAAGTTTGGCTTTGAGACATCCCCCTCCCCCAACCTCTCTCCGGATATGGCCGCTCTGGCTCCCCAACTTTGCCTCCTCGCCCCCCCCAATATGCTCAACCACTATGCACAACCATCTCTGGAGACCCAAGTGTGTTTCTGGATCCACAAGCAGAGAGCCATGGAGGGCAGACAGCAAGCGCCATGCATGTCTGGTCCCGGGGCGAGCGCTCTCTTCTGTGACCGAGGCCAGCACAAGCAACCAGAGACCCCCAGGGGCGTAGGGTGTCCGGGCCCGGGGTCTGTCGCTCCAAGATCCCCACCCCCTTTCGCCCCCGTACCCCTCCCTGCCTCACCCTGCCGCGGTACAGCTCCTCCAAGCGCCCGTCGATCCACTTCTCCACGTCTAGCCGCCGCTGCAGCTCCCGCCGGTCGTACTTGACGGTGACACGCGCGTGTCGTTTCTGCAACCCCCCGGGGCTGCCCCCCGGGCCGCGAGCCCGCGACGGAGACTGCAGCTTGCTCAGCACCCGCTTGCCCAGCCGCTGAGCTGCCATCGCGATCCCGGCCCCGGCCCCCCGCGCCGCGCTGTGCGGCTGCGCCCGGCGCCCAGGGGGCCTCTTACGGGCCGGGGCGGGGCCGGCCGGGGGCGGGGGCTTGGGCTCGCCCCGGGGCCAGCTCCGCCCCAGTCTCCCGGGCCTCAGTTTCCCCGCCGGCAGCTCAGGGACTGGTCGCTGCACCGCGTAAAGCCCGCAGCCGTGCCCAGTCCAGCTATGCGCGCGGTCGGGAAGTCCCAGGCCGGGGCCGGGCGGCTGGGGCTCCCGGGGCCTGGATCCCGGGGGGCGGGGTCCCGGGACAGGCTCTTGGGGACCGGGCCTGCCTGCGCGCCCTGGTGGCTGCAAGGGGCAGTGCAGGAGCCCCCGTGCCGCCTTTCTCTGCAAGGGAAGATGCAGCCAGAGAACTCACAGTACAACATTTATTCGTTCTTTCATTTATTCACTCATCCATGCAGCCTTTCGTTCACTTATTCACTCACTCTATTCAACAAATATGTATTCGTTTGACATCATGACATCTGTTAGCCTCTGTCTCTCATATCAGACTCCTCGAGCAGGATAGCATCCAGACGGTCCTCTCTCCCTCTGGTGATTACCAGGCCTCTCCTCCCCGACTCCCTTCCCCATGGGTTTCTTAGTGACCTAAGCAGGGGGAGACGGGCGCGCGTCACATGCACACACACCAGGCACTGTTCTAGGCACTAGACATAGAGCAGTGAACAAACAAGTCCCGTCCTCAGGGAGTTGACATTTTTGTGTTGGAAACAGTCAATAATAAGCACTATTACACAGCTTATTAGAATATGATAAGTTGTTTAAGAATTTATTCATTTATTTGAAAGAGAGAGACATAGCGAGAAAGGGAACACAAGCAGGGGGAGTGGGGGAGGGAGAAGCAGGCTTCCCGCGGAGCAGGGAGCAGGATGTGGGGCTTAATCCCAGGACCCTGAGATCATGACCTGAGCAGAAGGCAGACGCTTAACAACTGAGCCACCCAGGCGCCCCAGAATATGATATGAAATATGAAACAGGAAGGAGAAATGAAGTGAAGGAGGAGTTGCAATTTTAGCAAGGGTAATCACAGAAGTCCCTTACTTCACCAGTCTTACCACTTCTGATTACAAGCAGCAAGAACAATACTTTAAAACTTAAATTTGGCCATGTTCCATCCCTGTTAAAACTATCCATAAATAGGCAATGGTTTCTTAGATATAACATCAAAAGCGGAAGCAACAAGAGAAAAAATAGGTAAATTGGACTTCATTGAAATTAAAAACTTTTGTGTTTCAGGGGTGCCTGGCTGGCTCAGTCCATGGAGCTTGCATCCCTTGATCTCAGGGTCCTGAGTTCGAGCCCCATGTTGGGCATAGAGCTTACTTAAAAAAAAAAAATTTTGTGTTTCAAAGACCATCATTAAGAAAGTGAAGAGACAACCCACAGAATGGAGAAAGAATTTCAAATCATATACCTGATAAGGTCCTTGTTGTTGGGTTTTTTTAGATTTTATTTATTGATTTTTAAAATTTTTTAAAGATTTTATTTATTTGAGAGAGAGTGAGAGAGGGAGCACGTGAACAGGGGCAGAGGGAGAGGGAGAAGACTCCCCTGCTAAGCAGGAAGCCCGACGCGGGGTTCGATCCCAGCTAAAGGCAGACCTTTACCGACTGAGCCACCCAGGCACCCCCAATTGTACATACATTATAAAAGGGTAAATTGTATGGTATGTGGCTTATATCCCAATAAAGCTGTTATATTCAAAACAACAACTGTCCATAGCTCCCCATTGACCTAGGGGCATTCAAAGCTCTGTCAAGCCTGTGGTATCTCTCTCAGTTGGATGGGGGGGCAAATGTGGGGCTATAATCAGGTAGGGTGGGGGCCGGTGGCACAGGAGGTGAGAGGATTCACCCAAGGCAGAACAAAGGAAATAGTTTAATGAATACACCGCAAGGGAGAGGCAATCAGGACAGCAGAGAAGAGGCCGTCTTCAAGGAGGCAGTGGGTGGGGGCTGTGTTTTATTTTATTTATTTATTTAATTTTATTTATTTGAGAGAGAGAGAGCACAAGGGGGGTACAGAGGGAGAGGGAGAAGCCGACTCCCACTGAGCAGGGGGTGGGGGCCAGTATTTAAAGCGGGAAGGTGTTGTACGTAGGCCATTGGTCAGTTAGGGCCTGTGGCTATTTTGAGGTGGGTCGCCTGCTGGGGCTGTCTGGATTTAGCCAGGGGGTCGCTGTGGGCACTTTTGCCTGGATCAAGTTTCCATTGCTCAAGCCTGTTGTCTCAAAGTATCCTCTACAAAGCACGATCCCTTTTCAACACCTTTGCCCTAATAGTCTTTCTGTCAGGGAAGCTCTTCCTTGAGAGTGATATCAGCAGGGCTCATTCCTTCATCTCCCTCAAATGTCACCTGCGCGGTGGGGTCTTGTCTGAACACCCTACCTCACTCATATTTTCAGTCCTATGTCCCGTACCTGGCTCTATGTTTTATCCATAATATTGCCCTTCAACATTGTATATAATTTACTCATTTATTTATTGTCTGTTTTCGAACTAGTGATGTGCCGAAAGGCAAAAGGAGTACAGGCAAAAAGGGGGTGCACTGTCTGTAGAGAATTTAAAATATAAATAAATAAAACTGACCAAAAGTTGGCCCAGGGTTTATTATACCATGCACTGACAAATTCTTAGCAGTATCAGTGATAAAATAATCCTCCAAAATAGTCCAAAATCTTTTTGTTGGTTTGTTTGTAGACAATTGATGCAATTACTATTGAGTTTATTTATTTTTTAACAATTTATTTATTTATTTGAAAGAGAGAGTGAGAGAAAACAGAAGCAGGGGGAGGGGCAGAGGGAGAGATTGAGATGCAAGCTCCCCGCTGAGGTCGGAGCCCAACATGGGCTCAATCTCGATCGTGACCTGAGCCGAAATCAAGAGTAAACACCCAACCAACTGAGCCACCCAGACTCCCCTGGTTTTTTGGTGGTTTTTTAAGATGTTATTTATTTGAGAGAGAGAGAGAGAGAGAGAGAGAGAGAGAGAATGAATGGGGGAGGGGCAGAGGGAGCAGACTCGCCGCTGAGCAGGGTGTTTGAAGCCAGAACTGAGATCACACCCTGAGCCAAAGGCAGCCACTTAACGGACTGAGTCACCCAGGCGCTCCCCTTACCCTGTTGAGTTTTAATAATAGGCTTCCAGTTAGTTATTTTTATTACTGTGTCCTTTAGTAAACATTGTATTTGTAATAGTGTTCTATTGCTACAGAATAAATTACCACAAACTTTGTGGCTTAAAACTTACTACCTCATGGTTTCTAGAGATGGTTTAGCTGGGTCCTCTGCTCCAGGGTCTCACTGAGCTATAATCCAGGTGTCAGCCAGAGCTGCCATCTCATCAGAGGCTCAATTGGGGAAAGATCTGCTTCCAACTGCTTGACCTTGCAAAGATGAGGTCTTCATTTTCTTGCTGGTTATCAGTAGGGGCTGCTTGAGCTTCCAGCTCAAGCCCTGGCTTAGAGGAATGGGGTGGGTGGGGCGTTCAGGTGCCTGAGAGAGCTTTGTCCTCACATTGAGATTCTTGTCCTTGAGTCCTTGGATCTCACTGCAAGATTAAAGAAGATGCTGGGCAAAAAATGTATCTTTTTTAAATTTTTGAAAAAGATTTTATTTATTTATTTGACAGAGAGAGAGAGCGAGAGCAGGAACACAAGCAGGGGGAGTGGGAGAGGGCGAAGCCAACTTCCCGCTGAGCAGAGAGCCCGATGCGGGGCTCAATCCCAGGACCCTGGGATCATGACTTGAGCCGAAGGCAGCCGCTTACCGACTGAGCCACCCAGGCGCCCCCCAAAATATTCTTTTTAATTAAAAAAATGGTGAGGGCACCTGGGTGGCTCAGTTGGTATAGCACACGACTCTTGATCTTGAGGTTGTTGAGTTCCTGCCCTACGCTGGATGTAGAGATTACTTAAAAATAATTTTTTTAAATGTACACAGAACTTTAATTGCTGCAGGTAAACACCGTTTTGATAACCCAATTAAGGCTCCTCACATATTATTATGCCAGGAGGGAGGCTGAATAGTGGGAGTGGCCCTGGATCCTGTAAGGCACTGCTGCCTTTCTTGCCTCAGGACTTTTGCATTTGCTGTTCGGATGCTTGGAATGTTTGTCCCTCAGCCCTTCTGATCCTTCAGCGTTCATTATCAAAGCCAGGTTGGTCGGAGGGTTGTGGGTTATTGTTAAGCTGTTTAACATTATCAAAGCCACCTCCGCACTTCCACCACCTCAGTCCCTGATCGTTCAGTCTGTGCTTCCCTGTCACATCCCCCAATCATTCTAATCCTCTGTCCTATGCTTCTGTCATCACTACTCTCGGTTGTTCCTGTCTGGTGAGGAAGGGACTAGTCTGGCTTGGTCATCGCTGGGTTCCCAGAAACGCGCCTAGTAGGCGTTCAGTGAACGTTCAATTTAGGAAGGAATAAATCCCTCACCCTCAAAGGAGGGCAGAAACGAGGCGAGCTTCATCGCCACATTTTCAGGAACCACAGACTTCCAGGAAGAGCATTCTGTACCCTCTTCTCCCACCCCGAGGCCCAGTCCAAGGGTGAAGGTACTAGGACGTCACCGAGCCCCGGCGCAGGGAGGCAGGGGCCCCAGGGCTCAGCAGGTTTGCGCCTCCCCGCAGGCTAGCTCCTACCCTGGGCGGACCAACTCAAGCCCCACCCTTCCCCCCCCCAATCCTGGGGCCAGCCCAGGTGCGCCGAGGGAGGAGGATCGCCGCGCAGGTGCGAGCTCCCTGCGCCTGCGCTCTGCGCGCCCCGCCCCGCCAGGTGCGCCCCGCCCCTCTCCCTGACCGGCCACCTTCGATAGCCGCTCGGAGGCGGCCGCCATTGGCTCTACCGCCCACCGGGTGTTCGGAAGTGTGGTGGGGTTCTGAGCCGGGGGAGAGTCGCTGAGTGTCGCCGGGGGGAAGGCGAGTGAGGGGCGGACAGAAGCATCGTGGGCGTAGGAGGCAGAGTGTCCGCACACCGAAGGTCCGACGAGTAGGGGCCTTTCCGGGCACTTCGGCAGGAGCGCCGGCGAAGCACCTCACAGACCCTCTGGGAGCGCCCGCACCTGAACACGAGGCTCTCCAGCGCGCGTGCGCGGCAAGGGTCTTCCCGCACCTGATCGCGAGACCCTAACGGCCGGCGGCTCGAGGCTTCGCGTGCGCTGCCGGGTGGAGCCCGTCATGGCGCAGCTGTGTGGGCCGAGGCGTTGCGGGGCGCTCCTCGCCCTGCTGGCCTCGCTGCTCCTCCTCCGGGCTGAGGCGGCCGAGGGAGAACGTGGCGTCCACGGTGAGGGCCGGGACGGGTCTCCCGGGAGGAGTGGAAGGCCGAGGGCGGGGCGTTAGGTTCCGGGGGCTAAGTTGGGGTGCGAGGGGCCTTGGGCAGGGTCCGAACGGGGCGAATGGGCGGGAGAGGGAATAGGGGGCGACCTGGTGAAGCTCAGGGGGTGTGGTGGGGCGGGCTCTGGGAGATTGAGCCTGGGGATGAGGCTCGGGAGTCCCTGGGAGTGAGGACGGGCGGCGGAGCCAGGGTTGGGAAAGTTTCCTGCGGGTGAGGGAGGAGACTTAGTTCTATTGACCAAGAAGGAGTGGCATTGGCCCTTCCTGTGGCAGGAAGGGGGTGAGAGGCCCAACAGAAGACCGGCCTCCTCCTGGCAGAGGGAAGTTCTGCTGCCCAGGAGATCCCTGGGAGGCCAGGCCTGAGAGGGTGGGGGTTGGATTAGGTGACGTAATGGCAATTTTAGCCTCTGGGAAGAAGCCCCCACGCCCACCTCTTTAGATTTATTGGACCACAGCCTCCCGAGAAATCTTACCTGGTTCAGTTGCCGTAGAGCGCCTCCAAAAAGAAAGGTGTTTCTCAGTGATATCCAAAGGAAGGAGAAGAAGGACAAAAGTGTTGGAGGGGAGAAACTTTGCCAAGGTGCAAGAGTGGGGACCCCTTGGTGTAAGAAGAGTATTGGCATTGAGAAGCTGGGGTTGGGTTCGTGGAACTGGTCCTTAACAGGTTGGTAGAGAATAAGGCCCAATTTAGATTTCTACATTCTCTGGAAGTTTGGTCTGGGAAGGTCTTTTTGAACAAGTGTTGTCATAACCTCAACTGCTTCAGACAAGCACAGCCAGGCTTTGGAAAAAACCTTCTTTTCAAAGAAGAATTCATTGATTCAAGCAAAACTTACTGAGCCCCAGATGTGTCAGGGATGATGGTGGACCCGGTGATAACAGTTGTGACTCAGACAAGCCAGGTCCCTGCACTTAAAAGAGCTTATATTCTAGTGGGAGAGACAGAGACAGTGAGTAAACATTTAGATAAAGAGCAGTCACTGCAGTATTAAATTACTAAGAAGTAAATGAACAAGGTGAAGTACACAAACAAGGTGATGTAAGATGATGGGGCTGCTTTAGCTCAGGTGGTCGGGGGAGGTCTCTCTGAGGAGGGTAACGTCTTGAGCCTTAACACAAAGACCTAGTAGGTGAGAGTCCAGTTGGAGGTAACGGAGTACAGAGTCCTCGAGGTTGGCGCAAGCCTGGTGGTATTCAAGGAAAAGACAAGAGAACCATCCTAGCTGGAGTAGAAGTGGGGGTAGGGAGAGAATTGGAGGAGGATGTGAGGTGGGAGAAGTAGGCAGGAGCCAGGTGGCTTCCTAGGCCAGCATTTTGGGTGGAAAGAAAGCAGGGTGTGTGTACACCAAGTCATCACCTGTGGTGGCTTCTGAAGGCTGTTAATTTCCCCACGCCAGAGGCAGAGAGGAGAAAATGAGCTAATGGGGATGTCCAGGGTCATTGGGGAGAGAGTCAGCTCTGTAGGTCAAGGAATAAACAATGCAGGTGTTGGGCACCTGGGTGGCTAGGTTGGTTAAGCGTCTCTGGCTCAGGTCCTGATCCCAGCATCCTGCTCAGCGGAGAGTCTGTTTCTCTCACTTACTCTGCCCTTCCCCCCCTGTTTGTGCGCGAGCTCTCCCTCAGATAAATAAATGAAATCTTAAAAAAATAAATAAAACAGGGGCGCCTGGGTGGCTCAGTTGGTTAAGCGTCTGCCTTCGGCTCAGGTCATGATCCCAGGGTCCTGGGATGGAGCCCCGCATTGGGCTCCCTGCTCATCGGAGAGCCTGCTTCTCCCTGTGCCCCTCCTTGCTGCTCTGCCTACTTGTGCGCTCTCTCTCTGTCAAATAAATAAAATCTAAAAAAATAACTCATAAAAAAAATGCAGGTGTTGAACATTCTTGCAGTCTGGACTAGAATTTGACAGCCCTTCTGGACTTTTTTCAATGATGTAATTATGTTAGGATGTACCCTCCAGTTACCTGCCCTGGGACTTTATCAAAACTGAGTTTAGGGGGCGCCTGAGTGGCTCAGTCATTAAGCGTCTGCCTTCGGCTCTGGTCCTGGGATCGAGCCCCGCATCGGGCTCCCTGCTCCGCGGGAAGCCTGCTTCTCCCTCTCCCACTGCTTGTGTTCCCTCTCTCGCTGTGTCTCTCTCTGTCAAATAAATAAATAAAATCTTAAAACAAAACTGAGTTTAGGGTTAACCTCTACTGCTTACTCTGAGCTCCCATGTGTTTAATCCTTTAAAGAACCTGGTGCAGTGGTGAAGTTAGACAGGTCTTGCCTAAGGTCACACAATCGTAATTGACAAAGTCAAGTCTGGCTTCAGAGGCCTTCTCTTTTCCTAATGGGGCCTTTCTGGCTGCTGCAGCTGGCTGGACCTCCTGACCTTTCAAAAGTACTCCTGTCTGGTTGGGTGAACTAATGACCTTGCTTATCTGAAGTTCTGTTTGTTTGAAAGCTTTCAGTAGTTTAATTTGAGGCCGGAAGTAGTTTTGATTTTTTACCCCCTTCTGATTGCTTTGATGAGTATGGTGAGAGGGGGAGGTGTGTAGTGAATGTGTGTGAGGGGGTGATCGTAATAGTTGGTCAAGGAACTTGATCTCTGTGAAGACATAAGGGGGCGGAGGGGTAGAGGAAAGGTGGTAGGGTCAGTGGATTGTTGGAGTTAAGGTTTTGGAGGGAATGAACTAGAAAGACAGGATACAATGGGCAGTGAGTGAGACGCTTGGAGCTGAGGTTCCAAGAAGCTGTGCTTATTGAGACAAGGTCTAGGCATAACCATTGTGGGGCAAGGCTGAGGAGAGGACAAGATCGCTGGAGAAGAGGTCTAGGAACCAAGAGGCCAGGATGGTCTGAGTGTCACCCACCTGGATATGAAAATCAATGAGAATGATGAGAGAGGCAGCATGAGAGACAGTGAGCCAGGAGCTAAAGTCATGAAATGAGGAGTAGTGATCTGGGCTAATGGATGATGCACAAGGTGGGGTACAGTCTACTTTGATGATGAGATTAATAGCTGGAGTTTTGAGAGGACAGAGGGTGAATGGTGTAGAAGCAGCATCAGGAGCAGGGAGACCAACCCTTTTGGGCATGTCCTCAAGGGAGAGCAGGGTCTGGTTAGAGTAAGAAAGTGATGAGAATGTTCCGAGAGGAGATTGAGGAAATGAGAGATTTTGCTTAAGGTAGTTGCTAAGTTCCGAAGTCCTGGAAGTTAGGGGGAAGAGAGATGGGAACAAAATAGGATGTATGGGGATGAGGGGGGTAATTCAGGAGTCTGGGGCTGATGAGGTGATAAGCAAGTGATAGGAGTGCCATGTGGTTTCAAGGCTGACAATGTTGGGCAGGCACTGGGTGTTGGAGGGCAGACAGGAAGGGTTTGGGGTATAGCGGACACTTGGAGTCTGGACAAAGGGTGTCCTGCATCCGGACCCCTGCAGATGGAGGTGGGAAAAAGCTGATGCTGCTCTGGGTGTTTCTGGCATTCAGAGAGAGTGCCAGTCTGCCATGGAAAGCGCACAGAGATCATAAACTGGCTGTTCCCAAGAGGCCTCAAACAGGCGCTATGTGACCTGTAGTTTCTAGAATTGGGAATTTTTTTTATGGAAAAATTTGGCTGGGGCTCAGCCTGAAAAATGTGAAGATCAGTGGCACCAGGTCAGTGTTCCTGCATACACCCACAGTGCTCCTTTTGGAAAGGATATGTACTACTCTCCCTGTCTTTTTTTTTTTTTTTAAGATTTTATTTATTTCACAGAGACAGACACAGTGAGAGAGGGAACACAAGCAGGGGGAGCAGGAGAGGGAGAAGCAGACTCCCTGCTGAGCAGGGAGCCCGACGCGGGGCTTGATCCCAGGACCCTGAGATCATGATCTGAGCCGAAGGCAGACGCTTAACGACTGAGCCATACAGGCGCCCTCCCTCAGTCTTTATGTATTTGGCCCACCCACCATATCTCTAAGCATTTGAGTTGTGACCCCCCCCCCACTCTTAAGAATATGCTCCATTTAGTAAATGGAGGTAGAGAAAACATAACAGCTCCTTATAAATTGTATAGTGTGGGGTGTGTGTATCATTGCTGTTAGGGAGGGAAAAGCCCTTTATCAGGTGGCCACAAATGTGTGTGTTAAAAAAAACTTTTTTTTTTTTTTTAATCTCTTCCCCTGGTGACAAGTCCTGTTATTTGGAGTGGCCCAAAATTTGTAATTTTTCACTCAATTCAAGGGCAGATAATACAGTTGGCCCTTGAATAACACAGGGATTAGGGGCACCTCTGTGCAGTTGAAAATCCACATGTAACTTTTGATTCCCTGAAAACTTAACCTACTGATAGCCTACTGTTGACTGGAAGCCTTACCAATGACATAAACAGTCAATTAACACATATTTTGTGTTACACGTATTAAATACTGTATTCTTACAATAAAGTAAGCTAGAGAAAAAATGTTATTAAGAAAATCATCGAGAGAAACATCAATTGTGTATTCCTTTTCAGAATAAAACTTTTTTTTTTAAAGATTTTATTTATTTATTGGACAGCACAAGTAGGCAGAGGGAGAGGAAGAAGCAGGCTCTCCACTGAGCAGGGAGCTGGACGTGGGGCTCGATCCCAGGACCCCAGGATCGTGACGGGAACCGAAGGCAGCCGCTTAACCGACTGAGCCACCCAGGTGCCCCCAGAATAAAACCTTAAAAATTCCTTTAGGAAGTTCAAATGTAGTTTCTGCTGCCAATAACTTTATGCCTGACCTTGGGCATCAAAGCTTGGCATTAATGGGTACTGGACTCATGGACTTTTGTTGATTGTTCTTGGGACTTTCCACTGGAGAAAAGTGGAGACGCTTACCCAACTGAGCCACCCATGCGCTCCTATTCAACACATATTTATTGGACACCTACCCCGTGCCAGGTACAGTTTTAGGCGCAGGAAACAGAGCATTGAACAAAACCAATGACCTCCGAATGCA